CTCCCCCTTCCCCTCGCCCATCCCTTACCACCCCCCACCGCCCCATCACCAACCATCTTACTGCGGGGGTAATTGTACGAAAATCCAATTATGTTTGGTGACTCTGGGAAAGTCCGAGCGACCGGAGCGAGGAGAGAGAGCAAAGGATGGCAAAGGGTGAAGGGGGAGGGGGTAGAAGCCAAGCTGCTATGAAGCCGAATCGTCGTGACAAGTGGCGGTGCCATGTATCATTTGCATTTAGGCCAGGGCTGGGCTGGAGTCGGTGGAGAACTGTTGAGAACACTGACCCGAAGCACGCGCGAGCGCGAGTGTGATCGTGAAGGGAAAAGAGAGGGGGGGGGGGCAACATGTATTCTCCAAAGGGAGCTTTTGCTCCACTGATGCGTGCTCTCGCCAGCTATATCTCCAGTTTCTCGACTGCTGCAGAAGCTCCGCGCGTGATTCTCCCGTTATTCAGTTATTTCCCTTTTTAGACTAGACTGATGATGTGTGTGCCTTTTTGTCAGTTGTGGCGCTATCGCTATCGAAGCAGGGCTGCGGACTGCCTCTTTAGCGTCCGGCCGCCCAGTTGTTTTTCTCGAGTACCGCGCCGCCTCGCCTCGCCTGCCGTCGCCGGTTGATTCTTGTACCCCTCGCCCGTCCTGCCGGCCTGGGCCGGGCCGGCCTATGGCCAGGGGCTGTTTACTCAACAAATCGATAGGACAGGAGGTCCGAGATGGTTCACCCTGATGATGTAGAGCAATCCCTGCGCACGGGGCGGGGCGGGGCAGGGCGGGGCTGGGCCGGGCGGCGGCAGCGGGGGCGGGCGCGGCGCGCCGACGGACCCGCGGACCATATGTGCGAAGGCGAAAGGCAGACAGAGGGGCGCTGGGACGGACCATGTAGGGCGGATAGGACTGACGGGTGGGCCGGGTGGGCTGAAGGCAGATTGGGATTGGAAGGAGAGCGAATTGACACGAAAGGACTTTACCATGTGCGCCCCCAGCGCAGCCCACGGCAGCGCCAACGGCATTATCGGCTCTCCTGGGCGTCCTGGGCCGGGACGGGCCGGCCGGGCTCCGGGCTGACGGACGGGGAGCTGCGGAGCGTGCGGAGCTGGATCGAACTGGAAATCCTGGAAATGCGCGGGGATGTGGCGGTGCTGGTGGCGGGACGGGCGGGGCGCGGGGGGAGAGGAGGAAGGAAGGCGGGCGGCCGAGGCGTTCAACGGATGAACAGGGTGAACACCACGCAAAGACGAGTACGGAAGGACGGGGACCGCTGGCAATGTTCAGGCGGTTAGATTCATTGTCGATCCCACAGCCCTGTGAAAAAGATCAAAGAACAATCCTTTGGGGTTCGGCCCAAGTAAGATTCAGCTCAAATTTCTCCAATTTCGTGACGTCTTATTTTTCTTATCCCGAAACAGCGTGACTAGTGGCGCGAAAATAAAGAGGCAAACTCTCTTCAAGGGCGCACGCGCGCTGCCCTGCCCAGGTTGTTACTTTTGCAACAACTGAATAAATCTGTCGAGTTTGTGTCGAATTCGACGGGGCATTCGTAGAGGGAGGCGCGGGGGGCAGTTGGGGTAGGGGGGGTTCGAGGGTTCGAGCGTGTACACCTTATTCGGTTGGGGAGAGCTTGTGGGTGGAGGGCGTGGTGGAGGGGGAAGGCCAGAGCCTGACAGAAATAAAGAGAGTTGAATAGGGATAGAACAGAGAGAAACAAAGACAGTTGGGCCTCTTGTCTCTCTTGAATTGGGCCGGCCGTGGCCGCCCGGGTATAGGCGACTCATTCAGTGGGATACTCTTATTGCAGATTAGCGGGGACAGCAGCTCGGGACAGCGTGACAGTCGGGCTCAGCTCTGCGACCGTGTGGTGCGTGTGGTGCGCATAGCAACGCATGGAGCTCAGGGCTGCATTACATTTGAAATCTATTTGTTGAAACTTTTAGTTCACTCGGACAATCTTTCTCCTCACGCGCCTTTTTTTTTAAAAATGTCTGATAATT